TATTTTTATTTTATGTGTATGCATGTATTGCCTACATGTAGGTAAGTGCACCCATGTCATTCAATGCCCATGGAGGTCAGAAGAGGCTGTCGGATCCCCTGGGACTGGCGTTACAGACAGTTGTTAGCTGCCATGTGGGTGCTGGGATTCAAACCCAGGTCTTCTGCAAGAACAGTCAGTGTTCTTAACTCCTGAGCTGTCTCTCCAGCCCCCAAGCTTGGACATCTTTAGCTATCAGAAGACCGAAGTTTTGGCCCTGTCTTATGGAAATGGGCCCTGTTTTATGGGAATGCTTGTGGTTCTCTTTTTCTTCATGATATGCCTTTCTGCTGGTGTAGGATATCCGCTGCACATATCCCATCTGATATCCCAGTGGGATCAAGAGGAGGACCTTCAGTCAATGAAGAGAGAACTTATTAAAGACACCTGTACAGTGCAGTACCAGGAAGGCAAGAGTCCTGGTGAGAACCTTTCCTGGTTGAAGTTAAAAAGTCAAGTAAAGGGGCCGGAGAGATGACTCAGTGGTTAAGAGCACTGGTGGCTCTTGCAGAGGACCTGGTTTGATTCCCAGCACCCACATGGTAGCTAACAACTTTCCATAACTCCAGTTCCAGGGAATCTGACACCCTCTCCTGACCTCTGTAGGCACTCGTAATACAGGTGCTCTTACATACATGCAGGCAACACACTCAGACACAAAATAAAAATAATAAAATATTTTAAAAAGTCAAATAGAAACAGAACAAAACTTAGCTTTGTTTGTGGAAATTAATGTTTTACAGGCACCTCAAATTACTATTTTGACTTTTTATCAGTCCTCTCACATTTTCCTTGTTTTTGGCAAAAATCTCCATATTGCCCTTTCAAAATTAGTCTTTAGTGTATCCATTTTTTCTAATTTCCTTGTTTTTCTCACTCTTCTAATAGTGTTCAATTTATGTTACCATCAATGCCAGTCCTCATATAGAACTCCTTAGTAAATTGCATATCATTTTGCCCTTTGTATTCATTAATAGCAAATTCCAGAAAAATTCATTCTGCTACAAGTGCTTTGCTTACTGATACTTGGTTTTTTCTTTCAGGTTTTGAGAATCAACTTAAGAATTGTCAATTGGTTTCTCTTCAAGATATTTATGGAGAAAAGATACACAATGATGAGAAAATAGAATTAGAAAGTGGTTCCTGGTCCTCTATTTTATGTGAAAACTGGGAATCTTGTGATATTGTTAAGAGGCAAAGTCATGAGAGACATTTGAGGTAAGTGCCATTCTATAAGTGAAAGTAGAACCTCAGAATGCAATCTCTCTATGTTTTTTCAGACAAGGTCTAATGTAACCCAGGACAGTCTCAAACTTGCCATGCAGTTGAGGATGACCTTGAACTCCTGATCCTCCTGCTTTCACTTCCTAAGTGCTGGGATCAGAGGCATGTGCTAGAGCATCCAGCAAGAATCTTTAAATGCCTCGAGATCTAGAAACAGTAATGCATAAACCTAGTTAAAAATGTGAATTCAGGAAAGACTTGTTAATCTATTTAGAAAAAAACTAATGAAACCTTTCCTTTATTCTTGAGAATTTCATAAGGTATACAGTGAAATATGATATCTATCTCCCATTTCCTTCCTCATAATTCCTCCATATTTTTCCCCAAACATCTGCCTCCCAATTCCATGTCTTTTTGAAAACTTTATTTTTATTTTACCTGCATGTATATAAGTACATCCTTGTTGAGCAGTGTCTGGGGAGATCAGAAGAGGGTGTCAGATCTCCTGGAACTGGAATTATGGATGTAGGTGCTGGAAACCAAACCTGGGTCCTCCAAGATTAGCCTCTGCTCTTAACCACTGAGCCATCTCTCTAACCCCTCTCCACCTCTTTTTTTTTTTGATAACTCATTAAGTCTAGTTAGTGCATATATGCACATATATGGGACCATCTTCTGACCATGAGAATCCTATTACTGGCCATATCCTCTAAAAAGAATGATTTTCTTTTCCCCCCAGCAGTCAATAACTGCCAATAACTCCTCAGTAAGTGGTAAGGCCTGGGGATCATCTAACCCATCTATGCCAGAATTTCAACTGACTTGATCTTGTGTGGGTCTTGTGTGGGTAACCACAGCTGCTGTGAGTTCATGATTGTGATAGGCATGTCATATCCAGAAGACAGCCTAGGTAATGCATATAAGACTGAGATATTGAATGTTTGACACATTCTTAATTTGCAAACAGCTGAGCATGGTGGTACATGTCTGTAATCCCAGTACTCAGTAGGCTGAGGCAGGAGGACCACATGTTCAAGGTCACATTGGGCTATGTAGTGAAACAGAATCTCAGAAAACCAAAAATAATTATCTAGAAAATCCTATAAGTAAAAAACAGATTGCTGGATGTGGTGGAATACACCTTTAATCAAAGCACTTGGGAGGAAGAGGCAGGTGGATCTCTGAGTTTGAGACCAGTCTTGTCTGTCTTAAAAACAAAAAACAAACAAAAAATCTTGGTGATAATATTGGTTGTGGTAGAGCTCTCTGTGAGAACTATGACAGAGAAGAAAACATACATTCATTAACAGTGGTAGAAATGTCTTGCTAATCATGTCTTTTATTTTAGAAGTCATATGGTCGAGAACATCTATGAATGTAATGAAGAAAATCATTGTGGACAAATTTCAAATCTTAGTATACTGGAGAGCACTACTGACATAAAATCCTATGAATGCCATGTTTGTGGAAAAGCCTTCATGTTTCATTCATCCCTTAAGAATCATATCAGATCTCATACTGGAGGCAAACGCTATCAGTGTAAGGAATGTGGGAAAGCCTTCCATTTTCTCGCTTGTTTTAAGAAGCATATGAAAACCCCCACTGAAGAGAAACATTATGAATGTAAGGACTGTGCCACAACTTTCAGTTGTTCCTCATTCTTTCAAGCACATATGAAGATTCACAGTGGAAAGGGAAACTTTGAATGCAAAGAATGTGGGAAAACTTTCAGTAGTTCTTCATACCTCACAGAACATAGAAGAATTCATAATGGAGATAAACCATATGAATGTAAGGAATGTGGGAAAGCCTTCAGTTGTTCCTCTTCACTTTCTAAACACAAAAGAATCCATAGTGGAGTTAAGCCATATGAATGTAAAGAATGTGGGAAGGCCTTTAGTTCTTCCTCTCACCTCATAATACACATAAGAATTCATACTGGAGAGAAGCCTTATGAGTGTAAAGAGTGTGGGAAGGCCTTCAGTGAATCCTCAAAACTCTCTGTACATGTGAGAACACATAGTGGAGAGAAACCCTATAAATGTAAGGAATGTGGGAAAACCTACAATTGCCCCTCCTCTTTAAGTATCCATATGAGAAAACACACTGGAGAGAAACCGTATGAATGTCTAGAATGTGGAAAAGCCTTTTATCTTCCCACTTCCCTGAATACACATGTAAAAAATCAAAGCAGAGAAAAGCCCTATGAGTGTAAGGACTGTGGGAAAGCCTTCAGTTGCCCCTCATCCTTTAAAAGACATGTGAAAGATCATGCTGGAAAGGTACGATATGAATGTAAAGAATGTGGAAAGGCCTTTAGTCGTTCCTCATCCCTCACTGAACATTTAAGAACTCACAGTGGAGAGAAGCCTTATGAATGTAAGGAATGTGGGAAAGCCTTTATTAGTTCCTCTCATCTTACGGTACATAGAAGAACTCACACTGGAGAGAAACCTTATGAATGTAAGAAATGTGGGAAAGCCTTTATTTATTTTTCAGCCCTCAGTATCCACATGAGAACCCATACTGGGGAAAAACCATATGAATGTAAGGAATGTGGAAAAGCTTTTCGACATTCTTCATACCTTACTGTACATGCAAGAATGCACACTGGAGAAAAACCCTTTGAATGTCTGGAGTGTGGGAAAGCCTTCAGTTGTCCCTCATCCTTTCGAAGACATGTGAGAAGCCACACTGGAGAGAAACCATATGAATGTAATGACTGTGGAAAAGCCTTTATATGTCCAGCATACTTTAGAAGACATTTGAAGATTCACAGTAGGGAAAACAAATAAATGTAAAGAACATGGGATATTTGAAAAGCTCACTACTTGTAGGCAACCTGTAAAGTCTTGTAATATGGAGGCACCCTATGAATGTGAAAAAGTAGGAGATTGTCATTCACCTTTTTGAATGACCTCAGAGAAACCCTGTGCATTTAAGGCATGTGATGAAGCTTTCCTGATCACCACTATATTGTTTATAAGAAAATTAATCTTAGAAACGAGATCAGTATCTGACCATTGTAAGGGACTGCTGACTTTGAGTTCCAGTGCTTCCTTTTAAATTTTGTTTTATGTATATGAATGTTATGCCTTGCATGTATGTAAGCACAGGCATGTTGTGCAGTACCTATGGAGGCCAGAAGTGTTGGATCTTCTGGAACTGGAGTTATGGACTGCTTTTAGTTGCTATGTGGATGCTGGTATTGGACCTGGGTCATCTGCAAGAGCAATCAGTGCTTTTAACCACTGAGCTATCTCTCCAGCCCCATCCAGTGCTTTCTAATGAGAAGATTTAAGATAACTCATATTTCAGCTCTAGCCACATATTTTTTTTCTAACATATAAGTTTATCTTGACTCATAAATATTTCTGTTTCCATTGCAAAGTCTTTTGGAACTATGGAATATATATATATATATATTATATGTATGACTTTTGGAGATATATATATATATATATATAATTTATTTTTGAGGCAATGTCTTCCTATGTTGTTTTTTGCTGTTCTGGACTTGTGATCTTCCTGTCTCAGACTTCTAAATAGCTGCAACTAAAACTATGTGTCACCATGTGCCACGATCCTCAACTCTGACCTGCAGAGCTGAGGAGAAACGACACAAACACCAAGGTAGGGTTCAAGCTTCTTTTTTCATTGTGCTGTTTTTTCTGTTATATAGATGCCCCAAAAGCCCTCCCTTTCGCCAGACCCAATCAGGGGAATTACACGTGCACACCAGACAGTTGAGGCAGCAATCTATAGGGTCACGTAGACCCAATCATGCATGCTGATGCTACTCATCAGGCGGTCCGCGCATGATCGGGACACTGCGTTTGCGCATATGGAGTAAACAGGTGATGATCACGAGTCTGGGCAAAATGGCAGGGCGCCATCTTGGGCTGCTCCGGCCGCGCCTGCTTGCCACAACCATGGCTGGCTAAAGTATATATTTTCATATGCCAACAGGACAGAGTTGTTGTTTTGAATTGCTTTTTAATTAATTCTTTTACCTAACTGTGTAGTCTTTATGTTTGGTTTTTACTTTACTTTTTGGTCAGAGCATATACTGGAAATTGCCCACCCAATTACTTTTCTTTCACTTACTGCTTTTGAAAATATCTGTTTTTAATAACAAAAACTTCGTGTAATAACTTCTCAGCCTTTTGACTTAGATCAAATGAAAAACTTATGTGTAGTAATTTCAATAGAAACTAACTACTACAAAAGCTCTTGAAAGATAATCATCTCATCTGATGCCATTTTCATATTTTGCTTCTGGGTGGGATTTGGATCAATATTTTGAACTAAAAATTTATGCTAACCTCGGTTTGGCTAGGAACTCCATTTCCCAGAATCATCTCCTTGTCCAGTTATTGGTTAAAGTTTTACATTTGCATAAGATATTGTCATGTGCCCTGGCCAGTGTCACTCTGATCATGAGTAAAGATATCTTTCCAAGCTTCCTGTGGTCTCTTTAACAGAATAGCTTTGAGAGTGAGGGAACTTATGCTGGGTATAATTGAGGGAAACATTGGACAGGAGTCATCCCATTTTATTGGAAGTAGATTTATGTTTGACAACCTTCAGACTGAAGGTTTTGCTACTCTTTTATCTAAGAAGATGAACACTATGAATTGCTTTAGGTTCATTTTGCTATCCTTCATTTTTTGTTTTCTATTTTCTCTTTATGTCTAATCTATAATTGTATCATCTCTCCTTAGTTACTTTTTACAGCCTTATTAAGCTGTATATACACTAATGTGTATGAAGTGCCAATCTGTTACAACTCAATGAGATTTCACATGTGCAGATATTCCCAAGAACACACTTCTAGGACTCTGGCAAGTTTACTTACCCTTTTTCTCAGTAATCTCAGTAATTATTTGACACAGATGATCTTATTTTGATTCTAATTTTATCTTTCTTGATTTTTCAAATAAACGTTAACAGTATGTTCAGTGGTTTGTTAGGCTTCTTTTGCTTAACATAATGTGTATTTTTTTCTTGTGCTTGCTTTTTTGGTAGACTTATGTACTCTTTTGGGATATGCTATATACAGAAGAATGAAATTACTGAATCATTAAGTGGATTTTATGTTTAGTTTTGGTAGGTATTCCTCTTTTTAAAAAAGCTAATTCCATCAACAATTCTAAAAATAATGAACAGTACATGAAACTGAACTTGTACTTAACTTGGTATGTTTTAAAATTTTTATTTAATTTTTTGAGATGAGGTCTTGTAATTATTTTGAGTACTTTATTATTTATTTATTATTATTGTGAGCATGTCTGTATGATATGTGTCTGGGTGCTTGTGCTGTTATGTCAGAGGATAGCTTTTGGAGTCATTTGTCTCCCACCTTTTTGTGAGTTTTAGGGATTGAACTCAGATTGTGAGACTTGCACAGCATGCAGATGCCTTTACCCACTGAGCCATCTTACTTGCCTTTGATCATTTCTTTATGTGCTTATGTGCTTATTTGGGTATCTGGTTATTTTTTTGTGAAGGTACCTGTTGAAGATTTTATCCAAGTTTTTTCATTTGAAAGCTTTCTTTGTGGTCATTTTTCCTTCATTGTAATTATTATTTTTATGTATTTGAGTGTATTGCCTACATGTATGTAAATAAGGGCACCCATGTCATGCAATGCCTGCAGAGGTCAGAAGAGGGCATCAGATCCCCCAGAACTGGAGTTTCAGATGGTTGTTAACTGCCATGTGGGTGCTGGGAGCCAAACCCAGGTCCTCTGCAAGAGCAGCCAGTGCTCTTAACCAATGAACCATCTCTCCAGTCTTGTAAATATATATTTTAAGCTCACACACATAAGCCATGTATTATATAGAGATAACAATGTGTGCATATATATAACATGATATGTATTGCAGATAACCCAGTCCCTGTCTTGTCTTTTTTATTTTAGTTTTTCAAGGCATAAAAGGAATTTATAGGTTTGATTACCATAAAGTCCTTAGGAATAACCGAGCTTCTCTCTGGTTCCTACCTCCAGGATTCTGCCTTGAGTTGTTCCCTTGATGATGGACTGTAAGCCTGTAAGCCAAATACCTTTTATTACCAAGCTGTTTTGGTCATGGTGTTTATCACAGCAAGAGAAACCAAACTAGAACAAGCAGTGCTCTTGTAGAGGATCCAAGTAATGTTCCCAGCACCCACATCAGGCAGCTCACAACTACCTGTAACTCTAGCTCTCCAGGGTTATGGGATGCTTTTGGTCTCCATGGTCACCTGCATTCATGGACACATACCACCCCCATGCAACTAAAAATGAAAGTTAAAAAGCCTCAGTGAATCAAAAAGTACAGTCAAAAACATCACTTAATTGACAACTAGAAGGAAATATCAGGGATAGGGAACAAAGTTAACAAGATTAGTAAGGGGAAAAAAATAAGCAGACATGAGCACAACATCTAAGAACTATGGAATATAGCCAAGAAGTGAAAGGTAAGAATCCACAGACTAGAAAGACCTGATGTAGGGGGCTGAGTGATAGCTCAGTGGTTGAGAGCACTGGCTGTTTTTGCAGAGGACCCAGGTTCAAATCCCAGCACCCAAATGGTGGTTAACAATGATCCATAACTCCAGTTTCAGGGGATTCGATGCCCTCTTCTGTCCCCCACAGGCATTGCATAACACAGGTGCACTTACATATATGTAGGCAATACATACACATAAAATAAAAATAAGTAAAATACTAAATAAGGAGCTGATGTAAACACTGAAGGCATAGACAATCTATTCAATGTGGGCTAGGGTGATGGCTCAGCTAGTAAAGTGCCTACCATGTAAGCATGAGGACTAGAGTTCAGATCTTCAATACCATGTTAAAAAAAAAGTGAGGTGTGGTCATGCACATATGTAAACATAGCCGTGTGTGTGTGTGCTCACGTACAGGGATCAGTGTCAGGTAGGTTCTTGGAAATCGATTAAGGAAGACAATGTCAACCTCTGGTGCACACGTGCATGCACACACATTCACAAAATTCAGTGAAATTATACTAGAAAATTTCTAAAATCTAGAGAAGAAACATACATTCAAACATAAGAGGCAATTATAACTGGAAATAGACATGACTAGGGAATAGAGAAGAACCTGTCCACAACATAATCAAGATGTCAAAAATACAAATCAAAGAAACAAAAGTAGGGGAGAACCACGTTATCTACAGGGGCAGAAACATCAGAACAACATGAGCTCTTTGTCAGAAACCCTAAAAGGAAGGAAAACATGAAATATATTTCAAACTCTGAAAGTAGATAACTGGTAATCAGCAAGACTATCTTAATATTGACAGAGAAATAAGGACAGTCCATGACCACCAAGTCAGCACAATGCAGAAGATGAGAAAAAATGGGGGATACTTTAACTGGGGAGGGAATCGGAAGAGTTATACAGGGAGAGAGAGATGAGAGAAAAATAATGCTTAGGTGGTGTGAACAATAGAGGGAAATGTATTAGTTCAAAAGCCTACTGGAAAATACATATGAAATATCTGTACATGAATGCATGTATATAGCTGAAAGTTATATAACAAGAGAAACAGTGTCAGACAGGAAACCTCCCTTCAAGTTGTAGATCAGGGTAGTCCAAGAGACTCCTAAAATGACACAGGTTATTGCTGCAAACCTTGGTTACCTCCTAGAACTTGAAGGTAAGACCCTATTGCTGAAGACAGGATATACTTTGGACACAGGACTTGGAGCTGGAACTGACCTGGAAGCCTCCTCTAAAGACTAGCTCTCATAGTTTTAGAGGATACTATGCAGGCTACTAAGGGAGGAAATCAATAGTCAAACCCCAGCTTTAAAGCCTTAAAACCATGACAATGACTGGCACAGCAAGCTATATTGGTTCAGTAGTGGCACTTTTATCTTGAGGGTAATCACCAGCTATCTAATTGGACTTAAAGCTCTCTCAATGGGAAATCATGTATGGCACCATAAACAGATCCAAATACACATAGTTGGAGAGGTCATAGATTCTAGAGAAAATTCTATGTTACATCCCTAGACAAATGTAATTTCTTACTATATGCTAAATATGGCTTCTTATGTTTACAAACAAGTATGTCAGTCACCACTCATCAAAGAAGCCCCTTTTTGCAACAGATAGAGGCTATTGCAGAGTTCCACAACTGGTCACATACAGAGAATAAGTGCCTGTCAGATGCCCAGCCCTAAGTGACACATCTACAATGGACCCTCTGTACCTGACTCAGGAATAGAGTGGAATGAGGTAGAGAGAATACTTATGCATCACTCAGCTCTCACCAGTGAACTCTTCCTCATGGAATAGAGGGTGGTGAACACAGAAGGCCACAACTGGCCAAAGT